CTGCATACGTTCTTTGTATTATTGGACAGCGCATTGAGCACTTCTTTGTGGAAATGCGCTATATAAATGTTATTTATTATTTATTATTATTATCATTTCGCAACCGAACCTGCCCATACCCCTTTGCTCAAGATCACAGAAAAAGTGACCGTTACAGGCTGAAGGCTACTGTGGACAGGCTCTGGGTCATGGTCACTTACTGGACTTGACAGAGTCAACAGATGGTTTCCAATCTGAAAACTGAAATCTCAATCGCATCTTTACATAATTTCATTTCCAGCAAAATTGTCATGGATCAGTAGAGCTTCTTTGCTTTAATTGAATGTATATACTCAGTCTGATCCTGAATAAAAAAAACTTTTGCAGTAAAGGACGACTTTTGGCAGGCTAATTTGCCATAAAAAATGTCTAACAATGGTAGTGTTGGAGAGAGGCAGCTGTGGGTAGGTTAAAGATAGAGGGGGAAATTGCAAGGGTGTCATGGAATAAAATGGCCTCAAGTGCAGATCTCACTGACAAAATTTAAGGAAAACGAGGCAGGGGTAGGCCTAGAGCAACCTACTTAGGGAACCTAAACAAATAGGTAACAAGGAAAGATCAGGGAAATGTTGATTTTTTAAAGAGCATCCAAGCAAAGGAATGAATGGACAACCATGATCACCGATGTCTGTCGCAGATCTGGCACTGTATGATGAAGTGCACGCGACAGCAAAGGCAGGTTCTATTGAATATTGAATTTTATTTAGCTGAATATGAACATGACTAAAGTGTTGATACTTGATATAAAAGTTCAATCTAATGTTTGCTTATTGTCATAGTAATAATTTGGCAGGAATTAATTTTAAATTTTGCCCAGATGGTGGCCGGGGCCTACTCTTATCGATTTTGGACGACAAAAGGGTCTTTAATGTGCACAATTTGCACATGGAACCTACAAGATTTTTTTCACTTTTATCCGAGAAGGCTAGGTGTTAGGTTTTACCTGCCCTAAAATCAGGAGTGTAGCTGAAAGACAAGCAGAAAGAAAGAGCTAAGGAGTAGCATAGTCAGGAGCCCAGATGATGGGCAAAGAGATGAAGGGGTTGGGGGTGGGGGGCAGAAAATGGAGACGAAGGCAGACAACAGGACATGGATAGAGAGCAGGAAAGGGGGTAAAAGGATACCGTTTTAGAGATGAAAATTTTCTGTCACTGTCAGGTTTCGAACCCGGGATCTGTCGAATGAGAGGCGCACATCTTAACCTCTTGACCACGAGAGCCCCGAAATTGTTTGTAGATATGTCTTTTGTTTAACGCCCCAATTGACATACTTTAAACCATTTAGGAGGCTGACTTCTTGCCCTGCCTGTTAGGGCTGAGAGGAATATGCAGAAAGACCGAGATACTCCATTAAAAGTTTCCACCAATAGCTGTGTGATTATTTGATTCCGCTTAAATCCAGACATTATTCGAGATCTCTCAGCCCGGGTTGACATTAAAAGACGGGGTCAAAACTAGACCCTAAAATGATCTTAACTGTATTGATAAAGACGTAGAAATCCTGCATGTAAAACAAGAAAGAAGCAAAAACAACTCTTTAGGCAGACGGGGTGTTTCCAAGAAAACTGACGCACTTGCCCCTCCAAAGAAAACATGAAGAATCCCACTCCGCTATCAGTTACTTTGCAATGTCTACCACAGGCCACAGGTGTCTGTTGGGTTGTGGTTAGGCGCTTCGCTGTCGCACGCAAGAGACATTACATTGTCTTCCAGGGGAAAATGAATTGTATACAAGTTGGCCACACTATGTCACAAATGTTTGAATGATAATGAGCCATCATATTTATCAAATCTGTTAAGACTGAACTTTCCAACTCGCAGTGTAAGGTCATCAGCTGACAAAAAGAAATAATTTATTTTACCATCTATGAAACTTAAAACAATGGGTGAAAGGGCATTTGAATACCAAGGCCCCAAGACCTGGAATGCTTAACCAAATACTTTAAGAGAGATCAATTAATCTTTTGATTCATTCAAATGTCAGCTGAAGTCGTATCTCTTTTTAAATTAATAAGATGAATATTTGGAGTGATTTTATTTTAGTCAGAAAACAATGTTTTATGTTACTGTTGTAGGCTGTACTGTATTGTAAAGCACTCAGGGCCTGTGCACTTTAATCGGGTTTGAGCGCTATATAAATGTCATATGTTATTAGTACTAGAGTTCGACTCCTGAGTGGAGAA